TATACCTCAATAATATTGTTTAAAAAAGCAAAAATATACCTAATATTTCTTCAGTGAAACATTCCCGATTTTTATATACAGTTATTTGCATGTTTTCCTGTACCCCAGAATACCAGAATACTTTGCAAATCCTATCATTGTAATAACCAATTGGGGAAACTTGAGTGTCTCCACAGCTAGACTGAAAACATCTAAAGGTACTGATCATAACTTATTAACATTTCTGTCACTAGACTAATCAAAATAAGTTAAAAGCAATTTGTTTTCTGACTTTCTTAAAGAATGCTGATACCACCTGTACCTCTGAAAGAAATAATACATTGTATGTAAAAAAAAAAAAAAAAGAGAGTAGGAAGGGAAAAATGAAGGGGGGAGATCAGAGAGGGAGACGAACCATAAGAGACCATGGACTCAGAAACTGAGGGTTTTGGAGGGGAGGGGGGTGGGGGATGGGTTAGCCTGGTGATGGGTATTAAGGAGGGCACTTTTGAATGGAGCACTGGGTGTTATACGCAAACAATGAATCATAGACACTACATCAAAGACTAATGATGTAATGTATGATGACTAACATAACATAATAAAATTAAATAAAAAAAAAGAATGCTGATACCAAGTCTGTATTGTTTGCATTAATCCATGCCAGGTGTATCACAATTCTTTAGTAATAGTGTACCTTAATTTCACTTTAGCTTTTTTTATTGTAAACTTCTAAACGTTAGAATGCATCTTACCTGAGTTTGCAAAGTTATTTATACAGTTATGTTCACATTAAAATTGTGCTTTATAGGAGAGGAAGAAAAATTATACAAATCTTCATTAATAGGGAATTGATTAAATAAAGTAAGGTGGACCCACTCAGAATGCTCTGTATTTTTATATTCTAATGGGATAAATAGAGCCTAGCAATGAAAAAGTTCTTCGTTATATGGTTAAGTGTAAAGATGCTTCAAATTATGTGTACTATAATTTTATTTTGTTTCCTTAAAAAGTTGATAGATGATAACAACAAAAAAATTATATAGAGAGCATCAAATCCAAGATACTTGCTATCAGGAAGTTGGAGGAACTTGAAAAAATTTGCACATGTGCAATAAAAATTATCATAACATAAAAATTATCATAACATCAAAATTTGTCAGCCCTGGGAAAACTGGACAGCTACATGCAAAAGAATGAAAGTGGACCACTTTCTTACACCATACACAAAAATATACTTAAAATGAATTAAAGGTCTAAATGTAAGATCTGAAACATAAAATTCCTAAAAAAAAAAAAAAAAAAAAAGGCAGTAATCTCTTGGACATCAACCTTAGCAATATTTTCCAGGTTCTGTCTCTTCAGGTAAGGGAAGCAAAAGCAAAAATAAACAATTGGGACTATAGTAAACTAAAAAGCTTTTGTACAGTGTAAAAAACCATCGATGAGATGAAAAGGCAGCCTACTGGTTGGGAGAAGATATTTGCAAATTATATATCTGTAAGGGGTTAATATCCAAAATATAAAAAAAAATCATAGAAGTCAACATCAAAAATCAAATAATCTAATTAAAAAATGAGCAGAGGACCTGAATAGACATTTTTTCTAAGAAGATACACAGATGGCTAACAGGCACATGAAAAGATGCTCAACATCACCAATCATTAGGGAAATGAAAGTCAAAACCGCAATGAGATATCATCCTGAGTCAGAATGGCTGTTATCAAAAGACAAGGAATAACAAGTATTAGCAATGATAGGAAGAGAAGGCAACTCTTGTGGACTGTTGGGAAAGTAAATTGGAGCAGCCACTATGGAAAACAGTAGGGAGTTTCCTCAAAAAACTAAAAATAGAAGTACCACATGATACAGTAATTCCACTTCTGGGTGTTTACCCAAAGCAAACAAAAACATGAATTCTGAAACCTATATACACTACCATGTTTATTGTAGCATTATTTACAATAGCCAAGATACGGAAGCAACCTATGTCCGTAGACAGATGAAATAATAAAGAGCTGTGGTATATATACACAATGGAATATTACTCAGTCATAAAAGAGAATGAAATTTTGCCATTTATGACATCATGGATAGACCTAGAGCGTATTATGCTAAATGAAATAAGCCAGACAAAGATAAAAAACATATAATTTCACTTACATGTAAAAACTAAAAAACAGGTGTGCTTGGGTGGCTCAGTCAGTTAAATGTCTGACTATTGGTTTTGTTTGGTTCAGGCTGTGATCTCATGGGTTGTGAGACTGAGCCACACTTGGAGCTCCCTGCCCAGCTGGGAGTCAGCTTGAAGATTCTCTCCCTCTGCCCCTCCCTCCTCAAATAAATAATAAATAAATCTCTAAAAAAATAAAAAGCAGAACAAATGAACAAAGAAACAACAAAAACAAAGAGAGAAATAGACTCATAATTATAAAAAGCAAACAGTGGTTCCTTAAGGGGCAGGGAGGTGGTTAAATGGGTGAAATGGGTGAAGGGGATTAAGAAGTACCAACATTCAGGTTTTAAAAGTACAATATACAGATTATAGTGAATAATATTCTAATACATTTATACTGGTGAGCATTTAGTAATTTAAAAAAATCAATCCTATTTATTGACTTAAAAACAGGTTGTTGTTCATGAACATCTTCCATATGGTAAATTGTCCTTCAGAATAGAAAACAATTTCCTCATAATATCCATTAAAATACTTGAGACTGAATTCAAAATAAAGATCTAACTAACACCCAAACATCAAATAAACAAAGCAGAACAGCCTTATAATTTGTGCTGGATAGGGGAACCTGGCAACTAAAATTCATAAAGTAATCCAGTCTATAATAGAATTGGTGAATAATTCCCAGGCAGTACATTCACTTTGGGATGACTAAGCTGAAAATTATTCTAGGAACCATAAAACTTTGTTGGAATGATGAAGAGTTTGGAAAGAAATCTGGAGAAAAGCGACTTATGGATTAAAATCTGCTGTGATTGATTTCAACAAGTTTTAGCAGAGACCCAGTGGATATTACATACTCTACTGTAAGACTCAGATATTGACATGCATTTTTATGGCATTTATGTTTTTGCAGGTTTTTAAAAATCTAAATTGTTCTGGATAACCTATAAAGAAGGGATTACATTTTTATGACATTCTATAATAAATTAATTTGAATACATTAAATTGTGCCTAATTGAAGAGACTAACATTATGGAGAATGTGCAGTTCACATTGTATGTCTGTGTATTTTAAGTCCCTTATAAAAAGACTGAATTGATTGTGTAAACTAAAAAAATATAAGAATTGAACATTTAAGAGTAACTATTTAAAATGAAAACTACTAATAAAAATAGAAAGACATTAATTCTAAGTGAATTCATGCATATTAGGGCTTAATAATCACTTTAGAAATATGGTAGCAAAAATATTTTAGCCTCATATTTACACAGCTTATTACCATTTATTCTGAGTTATTCATTTTATTGTGCACATCTTTTACAAAAGTGTCATTATATTCAATATTCTCTATATAGAAAGGAAAATATCTCTACTGGATTATTTAGTAAAGTAATTCAAATTTAAACTTTCGGCAGACTATTTTTCATAGTACATATGGATATATTTTACTAGTAGTATAAGGAAACATAATACCTAGAAGTTGTATTCCAAAGAAGTAAAGCATATAAATGAAGAAAATATTGCCTGTAAAGGAAAACAAAAAATAAAAACAAAACAAAACACTGAACCTATATTATTTGGTTAAGGTAAAACACAACAAAATGTGAAATAGTTAAGATTAAAACACAGCACCAAATGCATAAATGAATCAACCTAGCCAATCATTTACCTAGATCACATTAAGGTTTATATTCATCAATAACATTCAATAAATTAAAGATAAACTATAACTTGAACCAATAGTTTTCTATATGTGTGTGAAAATTAAGCAAAAGATCTTTTTTCATTCAAAAATTAAGACAAATGAATAATAAAATTCTGTCTGTCAAAATGTACAGATTTGAAGTGATAGCCTCCAATATTGGAGTCTGTTCCTTTAGTCTCTTTTTATACCTTCTGCATTAATAGATGGATCACCCTTGCCAATTCATGAATTTAGAGAGCATGGGGTGCTCTTCATGCTGGCTACATGATTTTGATTTTGTTTTGTACAAGTCTGTTAGAAGGTTTAATGTAAGTTATTTTGCAAGCAAATTTCAGGACAAGGGCTATGTCTCCAACAATTTCATCATGTCCTTAACCCCATTTCCTGTGGTTACCATTATCTATAAACTTGATAGCAAATGATTATAGGATGTAGTGTTCACAGTATCCAGGGTGATTTCCAAACTGCTAGTTTGCCCCTTAAGTGTTTGTTTCTAAGAAAGAAAAAGAAAAGCAGCAAGAATCAAGTGTTGAACCCTGCTGTTCCATTGAGTTTTAAAGCTTCAGATTCTATGGTATCAAAATACTCCAGAAATATGAATAATGTCCTGGTGCTATTTGCTGTGCCCTCTCACTTACGTAATCCCTCATACAACCATTGGCAATGCATTTCAGTAAACTCATTCTGTCACACATGCATCTATTATTGCCCGTACTTTTATTATACACCTACTATGTGCCATACGCTATCTGAAAAACAGTGTATACTTAAGGTGTTGCAACAAATGGAGATGGCCTCTGCCTTTTTAATACAGTGCTATAAAGGAAAAGGTAATGGTGCTGTGAGCGGTCAAAGGGACTAATTACATAAGTGGTGAGAAATGAGGAGAAACTATTAACTCAGATTGAGTATCAGTGAGGGACTCTCTACAAAAGGACATAATGTTAAAACTGAGACCTACACGAAAAGTAATAGTTATCTAGGGAGAAATTTAGTGAAGGAGGCAACATACAGTCTCCTGGGTAGAAAAGAACTTGGGAGTGTTTCAGGAACTGAAAAACCACATGATTTCCTGAACATAATGAACAAGCAGGGAAATGATAAGATTAAGATGAAGAAGTTGGAAGGAGCTGGGCATATAGGGTGTTTTTATATCCACATTTTTATAGTAAGACAGACAGACTTTGAAAGTATTTAAGAGAGGTAGTAACATTCAACTTATATTTTTAAAAGATCATTCTCGTATAGAAAATCAATTGGAGGGAAGTGGAAGGGAAATTGGGCATTTAATTTAAGAAGAAAATTGCAGAGCCAGTAGTAGGAGATGATGACATGTTCTATGGTGTTAAAATAGAGGTGGAGAGAACGGGAAAGCAACATTTTGGAGATATACTTCAGAGACATTGGTGGCATATTGCATTTTGATAATGATGGGTGTGAAGAGGAAGTGACCCAACATGCTGTTTGAGTAACAAAATAGGTGGAGATTCTGAAGTCTGGAGGAAGAGAAAGATTTGGCAGGTAAGATTAAGCATTCAGTTTTGGATGTGTTAAATTTGAAATTTGTGTCAGACATCCAAGGGGAGCTATAACAAAATCTGTTGGTTATATAAGGCTTGATCTGAGAAGATAATTTTAGTTTAGAAATAGTAATTTTGGAACTGTTGAAATGTAAGTAGTATTTAAAGCTGTGGATATGTATTAAATACCTATTTTATAAAAACCTCCTGTGTTCAAGGTTCTTACGCTCATTAAGGGGAAAAATATGCTCACATAGAAAGTTAATACCAGCCTAATGGAACTAATTGTAGCACATTATAGAGTGCTAGTTGCTTGTTAGGACTATAGCTGGTTCAAATAAAAAAAAAAAAGTAAAGTTCTATTATTGTGGCTCAGAAAGATAGAAGCTTCATTGACCCATGCATCAAAAACCTAGGGATATATGAGATAATAGAAAATATATTTTGGTCTCTACCCACCCTAGTTCCTGGCACAGAGATCCTAAACACTCTAATTCCCTTCTTTCCTTCCTCCCTTCCTTTCTTTCTTTTCTTTCTTTCTTTCTTTCTTTCTTTCTTTCTTTCTTTCTTTCTTTTCTTTCTTTCTTTCTTTCTTTCTTTCTTTCTTTCTTTCTTTCTTTCTTTCTTTCTTTCTTTCTTTCTTCTTTCTTTCTCTTTTCCTTGGCTTATCATCAAAATTCACTTACAGGGCAGTTCATTGTAGTGATATTTTACTAAAGGTAGTTTTGTAGAAGAAGATGTAGAGACAATAACTGTTTTGTAGAGGTTTAAGGTCAAATTTATACTCTTAATTGTTCTATTTTGCCCCCCCTCTGATATTTTAATTTTTTTACTCAAGATTTATTTCTGCATTATAAAGGTGCTTTTTACCTGTGCTTTTTGTCATACAAGCCATCCTTTAGACTTTGCCTTTACATTATTTGGTTAGTAGAATAAAAATGACCAGAAAAAACCTGTCTGGTTTTGAAGGAAAAATGAAATGTCTATTCCTGAGCATTTCCTAGGAAAAACATGGTCATGAAATTTATTGATATAGTTGGGAATTCAGCCTCTTTGCATCCTGGATCCATCTTCTCTAGAAATGCATCCTTTAAATATCATTATATTGTCAGTAATTATGAAACAAATTAGTAAACTTATTCAAATAAGTGAACCATTTGATATTTGATTTTCTCACGCATTTTGACACTGATTTCATTAGACCTTGCCTAAATACTAAAAATCTATATAAAATATTTTTCCAATGTTAAAATGAAATTAATCACATGATATGATGGTTGGTTGGTGAAGATTTCTGTAACTCATTTGGATAAACTAGTCTAGGGATTATCTGATTATTGAATTAGTAAGGCAAGGAAGAGATTTTATAAAATTCTGTTTAGAAGGTTATAAACATCTTTTATATCACACCCTGGGCATCAGTTGATTATTCAATGCCCTCTTCAAGTCACATTTCTTCCATGACTGTACCTTCACAGATGCCTCTAGACAGAAATAATCTCTTCCTCCACTGTCCCTATATTGTAATTAGTACCTTTCTATAATAGTTTGCCTTCTGAAACCTGTTTATTTCCCATTAATAATATAGATGTTTGGCACTATGTAAAGTCAACTTCTGTATTCTACACAGTGTCTAGTACAGTGTCATATTTTTAGTAAATACGAAACACATAAATGATAGCTGATTAAAATATATTCATTTTGAGGGGCACCTGGGTGGCTCAGTCAGTTAAGTGTCTGCCTTCTGCTCAGGTCATAATCTCAGAGTCCTGGGATTGAGCCCTGCCTTTGGGGGGGTGGTCCCTGCTCAGGGGGGACTCTGCTTCTCCTTCTCCCTCTGCCCCACCCCGGCTTGTGCTCTCTCTCTCTCTCTCTGTGTCTCTCAAATAAATAAATAAAAAAAATCTTTTTAAAAAAATTAGTTCATTTTCAGCATGTAAGCCTCAGATTAATGTGTTGGGGAAAAAAAATCATTCTAGTGTGCTCTTTAAGTCCCTACTGGTTGATAAATTCAACCACAGAGGGAAAACCTCTGATTACAGGGAATGATTTTGGCAATAGGATGAATACATTAAAGTAGGTTACCTCTGAGTTGTATTTGTTTGAAACCCTATGAGAGAGCTTTTATAGACATCTAACTTTTCTGTTGCTTCAATAATAAAGAAGCTTTTTATTTAATGAGATTAGGTATACAAGCTTTGCAAATAATTTACATTGTTAAGATAGACTGATAGAGCTCAGCAAGAGATGGAATGAAAGTATTTAGAAATCTAATTATCAGTTGGCATTGGAGTGTGTCTGATTTGGAAACATTATTTAAAAAATGTATTAGGTAAAATACTAGGGAGAAACATGCTCGTATGGTTTCAAGGACCAGAAAAGGGGTACTTCTTCTGACCTCAATTAACTTCAGATGTAAAATGTTTATAAAACGACTAGTCTAAAGGTTAAAAGGTATGGTATGGTGAAATGAAGGTGTATTTCCTGAATTCTAGCTAATAGATTTCAAACTGAAATATGGTTTTACAGTTGTTCCCTGTGTCTCAGAAGATATTGCATAAAGAATATTGTGACAGACATTACTAGCTTTCTCATTTTCCCCTTCTTCCATATGATAGAGTTGAATAAGGAGTGGTTGTCCAGCTAAATGCTCTAAAGTCTTCTCTCTATCCAGATGTGACCATATATTTAAATTTTGGACAGCAGGATGTCAATAGAAATTATATGTTTCACTTCCAGTGTATGTCCTTTAAATTAAGGTGGTCTTACTCCTCCTTCTTTTCTTCTTTCCTGCCATGCTATATGTAGTCTTTATGAAAGAGTTGGAATAGCTGTTTGGACACAAATATGAAGACAAGAATTGAGGATGATAATGCCTCCTTACCAGCCTAGACAACCTATCTTTGTACTCTTAAATAAAGTATAATAGGGAATTAATATATATCTCAAGTTTAGCATGGCACATAAGTGAGGATGGAAAACTGATGACAAAGCATAAAAAATAATTCGAAATAAAAGTGAAAGTGTAACTCTTACACACACACACACACACACAGATGGGGAATAAGTACCTAAATGCAGGTTTGACAGAGGTGGCATACAAAAATGGAAGATACCCAGTTAAGTTTGAATTTCAGATAACAGCTTTTAGTATAAATATGTCTCCAGCCATATTTGGAATATAATTATACTAAAAAGTTATTTGTTAAATTTATCTGATACCAAATAAAAATGGTGTCCTGTGCTTTTATCCAGTGACCATACTTAAATATATATATATATATATATATATATATATATAGAGAGAGAGAGAGAGAGAGAGAGAGAGAGAGAGATCAGCATAAGTGACATGGTAGCATAGGATGTCCCTTGCTCTTGTTTTTGAATCCTCCTTCAACAGCAAAAATTTGGCATCCACGCATGAACAAAAGTGCCTTTGAGGGAACTGTGAGATCTAGCCTCATATGTCAAAGGGCTGGGAAAAGGTATTGTTTACTTCTACATGAAATAATAGGCAGACAGACCCTGGTCCTGGCTGTGGGATCCTGCAGTGGCCTGTGATCCAGCTCTAGCCTCTCTTGGAATAGTCTGGGGGTCTCTAGGAAACACTGTCTTAGACAATCACCCATGGATGAGAGCCTTTGTGGAAGTCGTAGTTTCCAAAGCAAATTTCCAGCACAATCGTTAAGCAAAAGAATAAGTGTCTGAATGCCCTGAAGTGGGTAAGAGGAACAGTTTGATTTTACCTGTTCACTCCTCTACCAAGCCAGCATAGTTCAGGGCCAAGAGATATTTTCTTGACCTGTGATTTCCCCTGTCAGGGAAAGGGAGAGCATGTGAATAAGCACTAAGCTTCCCCAACTTTATGAGCCCCAACCGAAGGAGCTCATTTCTCTCTCATCTTATCCAGGGAACTGAATCTTAAGGTATATGACTGGGGAGTGTGAAGAAACCAGAGAAGTGGTAAATAGAATACTTGGAGGGTATGAAAATGACACAGCTTCTACTAAGCACATTGTAGACTCCATCAAAAAGCCCATCCATGAATCACTGGGAACACTTTACCCACAGATCCCCCAGTGGCCCAGGGGCATCCCAAGCCCTCCCTGTGTCTCAACCCCACACACCCTCACCCTGTGGCTGGATCCCTGTATGTGCTCCTGACAGCAGGAGTAAGAGCTAGCTTTGGCATGTGGCTAATGAGCATTTGCAAAATGCTGGCCTAAATCTGTGGGCCAGGGAGTGACCACAAAGCTGTGCTTTAGTATTAACTTTCGGAAAACAAAAGAGAGTCTGTCAGTATTTGGCCTGGTGCTTTGCAGGATCCCCAGAAGGCATACACGCTTAGGAATTCTGCCACAAGAAGGAGGAAGAAGCATGGAGCAATGTACCCATAGAAAGTCTGAGATAGCCTCAGTATCTCTAGCAGGGTAAATGGAAGGTATTTCTCTCCCAAAGGCAGTTAGTAAAAACTGGAGGAGGTGAATACTGCATCAAATGCAAAGACTGCAACCTAAAACCTCAAGGAACATAAAAATCAAGGTGACATGACATCACTGGAGGAGAATAAAAGAAGGAGTGAAAGCTTATTTAAAGAAATAATGAATGAGAACTTCTGCAAATCTGGGGACACGTGGATATTGAAGACCATCAAGGTCATAGGAAACCAAACAGAGTCAACTTGAAGAGATTCTCTGCAGGACATATTATAATAAAGTGTCAAAAGTCAAAGACAAAAAGAGAATCTTAGAAACAGTAAGAGAAAAATGCTAGTGACTTACAAGAAAACCCCCTTAAGGCTATCAGCAGATTTCTTAGCAGAAGCCCTATAGGCCATGAAAGAGTGGGATGATGTATTCAAAGTGCTGAAAGCAAAGAACACAAAACAAAACAAAAACTACCAACAAAGAAAACTTTACCCAGCAAAGCTGTACTTCAGAAATGAAGGAGAGATGAAGACTCCCCCAAACAGCTGACACAGTTCATAACTATGAGACCTGC